TAAGCATTCGTAGTGTTTGAATGAACAGTCTAATGCAAACTTGCCATTGGCTCTCAGGAGCTAAAGGCTGTGTCATACAGGTAAATCATTCAAAAGATAACTTTCCTAGGCTTGCAATAATAACTCAGACTTGAATTATGACCACAACATCACCGTTATTTGGGCATTCTTAAACATATCCATCCCTCTGATACTACTTCTGAGTAGTGATAGTAGTATGCTGACTTTTCTCTTAGTTTTGTTAAGGGAAGAAAAAATATGCAATGTTAAGAATTTCATAATATTTGTATAATGCTTGTGCTTTGTTGATGGTTGTGATATTTTTAAAATCAAACGGAGAAATACAGCAGATGAAAGTGTTAGCTAATGAATTATTCCCACTGAATTAACACATAGAGCCCTCTGATTGATAGTAGTGCACACCGTTTAAACTAATACTTCTGATTTATCACATTCAAATACCACATAAATCACATACTGGGTTTTTATGTTTCACTCACTCAAAATAGATTTTGAGAATGTCCTTTATACTGCACTAGGAAAAGGCTACTTGCAGTTGGCAATAAACTTTAGTGCACATGAATTTTTAAAATCCCTTTGACTTCCCCTGAACATATCTGGCAATCACAAAAAAGTACTACAAAAAGCATTTATAGGAACCAAGCACTATTTCTTTCTCTGCTTTTGGGAGTCACGACCCTATAGGATTCCTAACCCTAAACCTCTAAATATCTGATAACAGAATGTACTGTTTTTTCTATTAAAGCCCTCCTACCTCCTTTGGTATTTCTTAGGACTACTGTACTCCCTCTACAGACATCATGCAAAGAGGAACAGTGGACACATATCCCTCAGCTTTTCAGAAACATATCTGGAACACCTGCCGTGCTGATAGGGCATGTCTTCACAGCAGTCCACGTCTACACTACAAGCAGTATTTTGACATTATGTCAAAATAAATTTTGAGCTGGAGGACGTCTTACTCTGACTCCTGTAACCCTCATTTTACAAGGAGTAAAGGAAGTCAGAGGAAGAGTGCTTTCTCGCACTACCTGCTGTGTAGACAGCACCAGAGGCCAAAATAAGCTATTTCGACTTATGTCAACTGCGTAGTGTATCTCAAGTTGCGTTGTTTATTTTGGCTTTAGCCCTGCTGTGTAGACGTGCCTGTATCTTCTCTAAAACCAAGGATAGAGAAAGGTGGCCTATCTCTCCAGATCAAACAAACACCTTCTCTCCCATTCAGTTGCTTCTTATGTGTCACTCCCCACCTCACCTTTCCTGAAAAAAGGCACAGTCCTACAATTACCTATGCAGAGGACTAACTTCACTCATTTGAGTAATCCCATTGTGTTCTGTTTATAAGAACACAAAAACAGCCATACTGGGTCAGACCAATGATCCATCCAGCCCAGTATCCTGCCTGCCAACAGTGGCTAATACCAGATGCCCCAGAGGGAGGGGACACAACCGGTAATCCTCACATGACCCCTCCCTTGTCACCCACCTCCAGAGAAACAGAGGCTATGGACACTATTCCATTCATCCTGGCACTATTTGCAGTTACTGGGACAGGAGGATCTAAATGCCCACTCTACCAAGAGGAAAGAGCTGCTGGACCCAGATCACAAGCAAATAATGGGGACAAGACATGAAACAAAAACAAGAACCCAGAGATGGGACCAAAGATTAAAGGTTAAAAAACCAGGGATTCAGAGGGGAACACTGAGCAGAGAACTGCAACAACACCTTCCATTGTTCAATGGTGGCTTTGGAGTTAGTGGATACTGCCTAAAGGAACTCTGTTAGGATGTATTATTAGACCAGAAATAGCCCTCTCCCCGGTCAGAGACCATCCTTACATAGACCTGGTATGATGAATGGACATCTTAGCCAACACCAGGAGGAAGCTGATGAGGTCTTGTGACTTTGTGGGGCCACCAATGGGATGTGTATGAATTAGGTTATGTGGACAGAAGTGCAGCCAGAACCTCAAACAGGTTCTGGAGAAGCCAGAAGAGGGGTGGGAACCCGATGCACCCTTCACAGATGTGTGCCAGTTTCTCCCTTTTGGTGCAGAAAAAGCAAGTATTAGAGGTGTTTGCTGCTGCTCTTCCAGCACTTTGGAGAACTTGAGCTTTCTGCTACATGTAAAATGCATGCTGGGGAATCTGAGCTGAAAAGTTATTTTCAGTATATCATATTATCCCTCATATTAAGGTTATGATGAATGATGTACCTCAGGCACAAAACTCGTATTGACTGGATATTATAGAAAGCCATATTAGCCCCATTGGGAATCTGAAACTTGAAAAATAGATAAAGTAGAACCACAATACTGAAACTATTAGCAGATGGTTGTTACATATTCATAGAACAAGGACTCAGCAGACAAAAAATTATAAATTATCCCCCAAATGATTTAAAAGTAACCACTATTACTTAAGTTACGTCTACACTGTGCACCTTACAATGGCGTAACTATGCCACTGCAGCCACACTATTGTGAGGCAAGCAGTGTAGCCACTGTTTACTGCCGAGAAAGAGCTCTTTGGATGACAAAATAAAACCACCAACAAGGGCCAGTAATTTCATCACTTGAAA